ACTCAGCAAGGACAACTGGTAGTCATCCATCGGTGCCACTGGAATCCAAGTAGCCGGACCAAGTTCCCATTGTGGTTCTGACATGTCGACGACTCCATGTATCGGTTGTGCCACTGAGTTGACTGCCTTGATGGTGCCTCCACCTCCTGAAGCCTGGATACTTAGCTGACGTGCTTCACTTACTGAAATAAAGTTGTTGAAGCTCCCGTATCTACCTGGCTTTGGTGGCCTTCCCATTGATGGCCATATCAACATAGAGCAACCCTTTGGCTTGGGTTTTTGTCGGACTGAATCCCATTGAGTAGTTGCATCGATCCCATATGTCCCCATCACTACTGCTTTCGGTTGGCTTGCCCTCCTGATGCTTGGCTATGAGGGAAGTAAGAGCTTCTCTCCGGACAGTCTTTCACCCTGAGGCCCATTGCAAATGAAGCAGTTGTTGCGGGGTTTGTTGGCGCTCTTGTCCCAACGTTTGCCCTTGTCTTTACCTTTGGATGAGGAGTAGTCTTGGCGGGTGTCTTGGTTGCTCTCCTTGGATTGCCCCCTGCTCCCGCGCCTTTAACAAAGCTGCCCTTCTTATCTTTGGATTTGCCAGTATATTCTTTTTGGGTGCTGTATCAATCAAACTTTCAGCAACTGCTATGGTCGTGGCAAGATCTTGTACTCCCTGACGCCTAGCTCTGTTTTCACCCATGATTGCAACCCATCCATGAAATTGAGAGCGAGTCCTTGTCGGACTCTCCGGGATCTCTAGTATCAAGTCGGTGGAGTCCTTGATATAGTCACGGATTGTACCTGTTTGCTTGATCCTTCGCAGGCGAGCTCTGCCTCATCCTCGCATTCTCCGGTAAAACTGCCGTTTACGCTCCTTTTTAAAATCATTAAAAGTAGAGATAGTGCAAATACCTTTTTCGATGTCTCCTTCTCGTCTCCTCCACCACAACGTTGCGGTGTCTGTGAGATAGAGGACTACAGTTTCAATCCTCGAGCTTTCCTCCGTACGCCTACGGCCCCGAAGTACTTGTCTAGTCCCCCACAAGTTGTCAACCTCTTGTGCCTTGCTTGAGCCACCAAAACTTCTAGGCCTTGGGACGTCAATCCTTTGGCTTTCAATGACGTTGCTGCCGGTCCTTGCAACCATGCCGCGCTTGCATCACGCTAAATCACTTGCACCTCGTCTAAACGAACAAGTGTCCTGTTGATTCAGTTTGGAACACATGACGTTTTGGCCAGCTCCCCTACGAACTCCTCACGGATTCTCCCCATTTCAGTCCTGAGCAACTCTTCCATTTGAAGCAACATAGCTTTCACGACAGTGTGGTTTCGGTAACCTCTGACTCTAGATCGTCCACTCGATGATCTAGATCCTCCGACTGCGTGCTCACCCTTTCTTCTACACGAGATAAGCGTGAGTCAAAACTGGAAAGAAAATCTTTGGACTTACCTCTGCCTTGAGGGGTTGGGGTTGGGTCGACTTTCTCCACGACCACGTTCTTGGGAAGCCTCATCTCTGCCGTCTTGGTTCCTTGGAAGCGACAGTATCTTTTGCCATTGAATGAAAACTGAGGTTATGCTAACCGAGGCTCTGATACCACTTGTCACGCACTTAACTTCTTTGCTAAGTTCGTGCGGCCTAACTCGTCGGAATGACTAAGCAGCCTAACGCTCACACAAACTCACAGGCTAAAAGCTTATAAACGAGAGAGAAGTATAGAGAAAATATAAACTCTGTATTGATGGAATTCAAGTTATGAACTTTACAAGGTGGAGTTGCCTATTTTATAGCTCAAGCTCCTCAAAGTAAATGAATGACTAAGCTATGTGGTGTCGAGCATTGGTGCAGCCTTGGAAACGAAGCTCGTGGTGGCAAGCATTGGAGCAACCTTGGAAACGAAGGTGCTTAGTCGCCGAACCTAGCTGCTGAGTCGTTAACTTAGCCCCTAAGTTAACTTAGCTCTTAAGTTTGCTTCACCCTGAAGTATACTTAATCAGTAAGTAACGTGCAGCATGCTTGGGCAAGCAGGCTGGTCGTGACATTAAGCCTAGAATGAATTTTGATTCATTTGATAGACTTTTCCAATACTATAGAAGCTATAGGAAAAAATGGGTTTTGAAGCCATTATAAGATCTTCAAACAAAGGAGATGATGGAAAGTTGAAATACGCAACACTTTCTTATGCTTGTAGTGGGAAGTCGACATGTATCTCTAGAAATGCCTTTAAAATGCATCCGGTGACGAAACTGATTGTAAGGCCCGGATTGGTGCAGCTTTATGTTCTATGGAAGTTGGCAAATATGTTCAGTTGTCCGATCATAACCATGAACTCAGTAGTCCTAGCAAAACTAGATTTTTCAAGGCCAATCGAATAATAAACCATACGTCAAAAGGAAACTTGAAGTAAACGATAGGGTTGGGATTAGACCCAATAAAATTTGAATTCCTTTGTAGTAGAAGCTGGTGGTCCTCAGAATTTGCCTTCTACAGAAAGATTGTAGAAACTACATTGAAAAATTTAGGAGGCTACGACTTGGTGTTGGATGCTTCTGCAATTCAAAAATTTTTTGAAAATGCAAAATGAGAATTCAAATTTCTTCTACATAATGGATTTAGATGAAGAGGGTTGATTAAAGAAGTTCTATGTGGGATGCAAGAAGTAGGGTTGCATTTAAAGAATTCGGTGACGTTGTGACATTCGACACTACATATTTGACCAATAAGTATGATATGCTATTTGCGCTTTTGTTGGTGTTGATCATCATGGATATTCAACATTGTTTGGTTGTGGGTTAATCTTTAACGAGGACACAAAGACATTTATGGCTTTTTTCAATCTTGGCTTGTATTTATGATGAATTGTGCTCCAAAGGCAATAATCACTGATCAAGATAAGACATGCAAATAAGATTGAGATTGTGTTCCTGAGTACACGACATAGGTGTATTTGTGGCATATAATGAAGAAATTGCCTGAAAAGTTAAAAGGTTATACCCATATGATTCTATCAAGTTTTCTTTAAAAAATCAGTGTATATTCATGACACATGAGGAGTTTGAAGAACGCTGGAATAGGTTCATTGAAGAACACAACCTTCAGGCCAATGAATGGTTACTTGGATTGTATAATGAAAGACGATGTTGGGTGCCAGCATTTGTAAAGATACTTTATGGGCAGTATGTCTACCACTCAATGGGTGAAGTATGCATGCATTCTTTGATGGATATGTTAATTCAAAAACCACCTTAAAACGTTTGTGGAACAGTATGAGAATGCATTGCGTGATAAGTGGAGAAAGAAACGGAGGCTAATTTAAATCTTTCAAATCATGGATCCCTTGCATAAGCAGTATAGTAGTGAGAAACAATTTCAAGATGCATATACCATTGCGAAATTCAAAGAGTTTCAACAAGAGCTTACTACAAGCTCTATTGTGAAATATCTTCTTTCAAAGAGAATGATTCCTATAGGAATTTATAATAAAGAATGTTAGGGTTGGAGAGACTCATCGCCATGTCCTTTTTGGTATATGTTTTAACGAAGCAACTTGTGATGTTCGTTGCGATTGTCAGTTGTTTGAGTTTAAAGGAATCTTATATCAACATGCAATTGTGGTGTTGATTCACAGGAAATTTCTCATGTACCAGAAAGTACATTTAGGCGATGTAGGAAAAATATAAACAGATGTCACACAGGGTTAAAATAAGTAATAATATGGTGCACAATCTTGAAGGACAACGATTTGATCACTTGTCTAATTTATTTTCTACTATAACTACTAGCATCAAACAGTGAGGATGATTGTAATATGGTGATAGAAGTGAACATGATCTTAAAAAATTGATGTCGAATGAAGGTGTTGGCAGGAATGGTAAAAGAGAAAACATGTCAACTAATAGTAGAATGAATTGTGAAAGTGTTGATGGTACTTCCAAAGAAGGGAATTGTAATATTCTTAGTCCACGGGCTGTCCGCAGCAAAGGCGTCCCTCCATTAAAGGAAGCAGTCAAAGGTTGAACAAATTCTTTGTAAAATAAAAAACAAGAAATTGCGAAAACAAGAAAGGATAAAAAAGTTGAAGGTAAAAATTTAGTAATTATCAATTTTGTTGATTATTTTCTTATTTTTATTCTATTTATTGATAGATAACATGGCTTTTGTATATAATTGCAACATTGTTGGATGCCAAAGCATGTGGGATTTCAATACGTGATTAGTGTCCTTTGATATCTATTTTGCTGCAACTTGAATACTGCACCTTTTTCTGATGTGCATGTTTTGTAAAGAAGTTTGGTTTTGGAGATTTGATGATTTATAGCTTGTAAGCTGCATTTTTTGTTCTGCTGTTATGAAGCTCGGGCCTGTTATATGTGGTTTAGTTGGCTCATTTCTGTACAGGTTTTCAGGGGAGGTTTTGGAACTGTTGCAACGTAGTAGCAATTGTAGCATACTGAAGGGGTCTAGATGCAACACCTCTGTGTTTTGTTTGTGTGTTACTGCAAGGATATTTGTACTAGTGATGAGGCTTTTCCAGAGGAGGTTGGTTTTTGGCAGTTTCTCTGTTATGCAGCTTGGTTGCTGCATTTTCTATAGTGTTTGCAGGTCTTTATGGTGTGATCAGTGCCACTTATCATAGTGGTGTCTTGCTAGTTGTGTAGAAGGATTTAAAGATAATATATTCACAAGTAGTCAGATTAATTATTTTTGACTGTCAGAATAGTTAGCATTAATTGTGACTCACATGATAATTTCCCACAGCAGTTACATATATCAGTTTAAGGCGCTTCTTTTGGAACTGCATATTAGGATTTCCTTTGGTCCTAAACTTGCATGTCATTGCTGACGATTTCATTCCTCTTCTTTCTAACAATTGGATTCTTTTGTATTACTATTCTGATTCAATTTTAACAAAACTCTAATGCTTAAGTTTCGGTTGTCTTCTTGTCTTACAGGTATATTGGCAGCCTGGTTGGTGACTTCCATCGGACCCTTCTCTATAGCGGCATTTACGGGTACCCTAGAGACAAGAAGAGCAAGAATGGGAAGCTGAGGCTCTTGTATGAGTGTGCACCGATGAGCTTCATTGTGGAACAAGCTGGAAGAAAATGATCAGACGGCCATCAAAGAGTACTTGACATTCAACCAACTGAGGTGAGAACATTCTTATGAGTTTATGCACTTTTCTTGCTAAACTTAGGTACTAAGATGCTTTGGTTGTTTCCTTTCAATAGATACATCAGCGTGTTCCGCTCTACATTGGAAGTCAGGAAGAAGTGGAGAAATTGGAGAAGTATTTAGCTTAACCGAAATGTAAAACAAGGAGTAATTTTGTTCATGAAGATAATTCTTTCATGGAAGTTTCTCAAGAAATATGCTAAATTGAAATTAAAAAAGAAGCAATTACTTTCCTTTACCTGTATGAATTACTTTTGTTTCGAGGCAAAAAATTGCCAGGTCTGCATGGGACTTCAGCTGTGTGTAAGATTCAATCTAGAAATTAGATCAAATTTTCAAAGGAAATAGATTATCAGAAATGGAAACGCATAATGATAAAGTAAAACATCTTTAGAGAGGTTAATTGTCTACTTTTCATGTCGGAGAGAAGTGAAATTTCTTAGGGATTCTTCATGGTGATCAATCACACAATTTATGAAACTTGTATCAAACCAATGCTATAATCAGAACCTGTGCCTCAAATAGCCGTGAGATATTTACTTTTTTGGTAGATATACCATAAACCAATTTTAATTGGAAGCCTGGATAAATAAATAACAAAGATTTTGTGCAAGAAGTTTCTACTTCATTATCAAATGTTATCAGTAACCTTCATCAGAAATTTACAATCACCACTAAATCAATATAGGCAAAATACAAGTGGACAAAGATAAGTATTTGATTAGCAAGCTGAAGGGTACTTTGCTTTGCCCAATCTTTCAACTAAAATTCTGTGGGAATACTAAAGAGATGTTAAGTAACATGTAACAAAGAAATAGTTAATAGGCGGATGCTTAAGAATTAAGATCACAGTCAAGCATCTTTGCTGTAAGTACTATACTGGTCCCGTGTCAGCATTAAGTCATCTTAATCTTAAAAAAGAATTAGTTTCTTGCTGAAAAAAATTTCTAATCCAAAGAACTCCTGCGACCTATTGCTGCATTTCATAATAAAAACATCAATTTTAGAACTCCGAACTAAATTTTGCTATACAGAACAATGAAAATACAAGTTTATCCCCAGTATAGAAAAGAGAGGAAAGCAAAACTTAAAAGTAAGAAGCAATAAATTACTAGGACTTAAAATTCTTATGCATTTTGTTATTGATTTTACTACAGTTAGGGTTTCAGAGCCTGCAAAATGAAAATTTACAAGATAAATACATAACTTGAAATGATTAAAATCAAATCAAATAGGTAAGTCTAAATCACCTTCAACATTCATGTCTTTTCCTGAAAAAACTTCTGTTAGTGTTGATGAATATTCTGCATTCTGAAAAAAGGAAACATAAAGACCAAAAAACAATGTAATAAATGAGCTAATGTTTCATGCTCATAGCAAGGCCCAAAATTCAAATTACATATCTGCATTTTTACTTCTTTATGTAGACACATAGTGAAATTCACTTTTAACTTTAACAATCACATTGAGATACAATAGATCTCACCAAACAACTAGAATACAACTGAAAGCAACTAATCTTGTACCTAAAGGTCTTCCAGGAATCTGTAATGAACCAAAATTGCAGAATCATGAAGGAAAATGGAGACCATTTCTTGGTTACACACCACTTTACTTGAATGCTCCTCAACTTTCCAATAGGACCCTGTAAACATAGAACCAGAGGCATAAATCCACTTATTGATCAAACAGTCATGGTAAATGATTCGAGTCATTAAGAGGTAAATAACATCATATTTCCCAATGCAGAAATCATTTTCGGACCACATTAATAGAATTCCTATTTCCTACCGCGGAGTGGGTACTCTAATCATTCAATTCTAAACCCTTTTCTTTTTTGTGGATTGAAATTCCACTACAAAAGTCTCTTTCTTGGCCTAGTTTGTGGGATTTGAACTCTTTCTCTTTTTCTTTTCTTACCTATCTAGTGTAATTAAAAAACCCCTTTGTTCATAGGAATTACAGAAAGTTTTTTAGGATTGTTCCTAGGATGTAGAATCCTCTTCTTTTTGTTTTCTCCTAGGTTTCCTTTTCTCTCCTCAAATCTATCAATCAGAAGTTGGAGAGGAGAGATGGCATATAAGAAATGGAACTCACTCGATTAGAGAGAGTGTAGGCTCACTCACAGGTCAGGGGCTAGTATAGCAAACAGGGGTTTCAATTCCCACAGAGCAAGTGGGAAATCAAAAAGACCTGCGAACTAAAAACTTTCCGTGAGCATCAAACTCCTATATGGTCTTTACCGCTTGGGAACCTCAACCTCACCTATCCCCTCGACTTACTTCAGGTATTACACTCGCTGGAGTTAAATCAAGCTTTAGAATATCTTGCACAACTACATTATTCCAAATAATGGCACAGCACTGCCTTAGGTCTAAATCAAATGTTATTTCAACCAAGGGCAAAAGACCACTTACCGTGCTCAATGCAACAAAGAATCTTTCTCCATATCAACGTCCAAGTTCCAACCTCTGAGTAGGTAGGATTAAGAAATAAGTTAGCTCCAAACCAAAAAATGTCCAAAACATTTTATTGTAGGAAAATGAAGATTACCTCTCAACAGCTTCTAGAGAACAAGGCGATGGAGAAGAGTGCGAAGATGAAGAGAGCAATAGAGATGGAGAAGAGCGCGAAGATGAAGTCAGCGATGGAGATGGAGAAGAGCAATGAAGATGAAGAGAGGAGATGGAGAAGAGCGCGAAGATGAAGACAACGATGAAGATGGAGAAGAGCGTGAAGATGAAGACAGCGATGGAGATGGAGAAGAACGATGAAGATGAAGAGAGTGATGGAGATGGAGATGGAGATGGAGATGGAGAAGAGCAGTTAGCAGAGCAGCCAAAAACAGTGATGGAGAAGAGCACGAAAGAGAAAGCGTGGAGAAGAAGATTGACATATTGAAATGGATGACATGGCAAGTGATGACGTGTCAGATGATGTGGCATTGCCACGTCACCTGCCGTGTCACTTTGTAAAATCTTCTTTGTATTGGCCTTTGTAAGAGTGGTGTTATTGCTTTTGATTTGCATTGATTTTCCCGGTAATTTTTGGGACCCTTCAACTCAACCAAAACGTCAGTGCTCAAATAATCAAAATATGCACAGAGGGACTTGCTATAACTGAAGATGATGGTTATGGCTGACATTACATTCGAAAGTAGGGCCACCTGATTCTGCCATAAAATTCATATTATTAATTTACTGATTTACATACAACACTTCCGCATAACCATCCACAAAAGAACATTTACATCGATGATGTTTTGAGAATTCTAATAGTCTTGAGTCTCTTGTGATTCATCATTTCCTTGAGAAAAATCAACACTTGTATAAGTCCGAATTCCAGGACCATGTCCTCCACAATCCCATTCCCTTCCCTGTTGTGCTCGTCTTACCTCCTTTTGATGTTCAGTGAGTGTCAACCTCTTTCTTTTTGGACTAGGGCACAGTTGACCCCTGTGGTCAGTTATATTTATCATTTCCTCTATTAATTCTACCCTTTTCGAGCTCCTGTTATGTGTTGCAGTCACCTTGTATTTCTGTGGAGTTGTAGTGTCTTCTATTCCAGAATGGCATCTCTTTAGCAATGGTTGGTTTCTTGTGTAGAGGTTTATTCTTCCACTTCTTGAGAGCTTGTCTAAGACGTGAAGCAAGTTTTGAGGGTAATCCAACTCCACTTGTTTACCATATGTGGAGTTCCAAAAGGAAACAGTGGGTTCTGAAATGGAATATCTTGGGTGATCAAGTGCTTTCTCAAGGAGGCATGCCTGGAGTTTGAGGAAGGCAGAATTGAAGATTATTGGTGGCCTACTCTTCTGTAAAGAATTCAAGGTTTCAGCCCATAGTCTTTGAAGTTGCTCATTGGTGGCTTGATCCTGTACTTCGATACCTGACAACCAGTGAAGCAGCGGACAGGAAATTATCTGCAGGACAATGAACTTCATTAAATAAAAGAGAGACAACAAACTTCTTGCAATGGGACACTGGAAAGGAAGAAAACAACCAAAATATAATTCCTCAGAAAGAAAATCCGAAATAATTATTGTTGGTCCTGTTCTCCAATAGATCAATGTCTAATGACCAATCAATTTTGTTTTTAGTTGCACATCTTTTCTTTTGCAGAATTTCTTCACCCTGTTTAAATCAATGGAGCCTATTCTTTTTCATATAACTCACAAATTGGGTTTTCAGTATCCTTGTTTTAGTAACTAGCACCATCTATAATTCTACAAATCATTATAAAAGGTTGGTATTACCTCCAAACTTAGTTGAATAGGATTCAATTACTAAAGAAATGCATAATCTAGACCTAAAAGCTTAACAGAAAAGATTCTTTCACAGAATTCTTCCAAACACACTCAAGTAACCTAGACCTAAAAGCTTAACAGAAAAGATTCTTTCACAGAATTCTTCCAAACACACTCAAGTTGGTTACATGGTATACCCAGTAAATACAATCGAGAAACAAACCTTGAAAAATGAAACAATATTTTCCTGGAACACTAGGCAATTAACGAAGCTTGCCAATGCGGAAAACACCCTGCAAAAGAGATGTGAGAAATAGAAATAAATTAAATAATTTAAATGGACAAAGACATAACTTAAAGCATAAGTGGATAGTTCTATAAGACATACCTTGAAGTCCGGGGACCATTTAACGATTTGGATCCTATCTTCATCCTCGACAACTTCAAGAACCTATAAAATTCCACATGAAACATGAGCAATAGCAGTTGGGGGAGTTAAGGAACAGCTGGGGAAAAGAACCATACCCTTGAAATAAAAAAATTTTAAGTAAACCTATATCTTTCTAATAACAACCAATGAGGTAATATTTGAGTTTAGAATGTTTGAAACAAGATCCTATTGAATATTCAATGAAAGCAATCTATTGCTAACATTAGTTGTCAATATATTGATGTCCCACTTCAAAATGCAATATGGATCCACCAAACTGTTTCATCTTTTATTAAAACAATCCTCATATGAAACAACTGCTTAAGCAAAGTGCACCCAAGTGAAGAACTGAAGATAACTGCATCAGGATAGGGTCACCAGGATCTGGTCTGATAAAAAAGTTAGGAGCCCCATGACTTTAGAACTTCTAAGATCATAAAACTTGCCCAAGTTCTCATATTCTTATTGATCAATCATATATTTGGGCCAAAAAAAAGGGGTTCTAGACTTCCCTTGTCCAAGACTCCACCGATCTCATCTTCATACTAATCAACTATGGGTTTAGCCAAAATTTTCAAAGTTTTGGCACTTAACAAACAATAGTTAAAAAATTGTCTGTTTCTAGGACCCCACCCAATTTAGGAAAAGATAGTAGCTAGGCCACTTTTGCCAGGCAGCTGCATTTATTATTATTATTATTATTATTTAAAAATATAAGAAAAATGAAAAAAAAAAAAAAAAACTAAAGGTGAACAGAAAAAATAACTCAAAAGGATGTCCAAAGATTCTAAAGGTAGCATCTCCCAACTGGCAACTCCAATCGATTGATGCTTTAACACCGTACCATTAATTCATGAGGCTTTGGCTAGATTATGATAAGCAGCCTCTGCATTTACCTGGCAGCAAGTCCCAAGATATTGTTGATTTCACCAGAGATTTTACAGCCACCATCAAGTTCAGTTTTGGCCGACCTTGAACTTATTTCCGAAGTCGTGATATGCTCCAGGATAAAGATCACAACATCACCAGATAAACATAAAAGATTAAGATCCAGATCCTCATTACTTGAATTGATCCCAGTACTAGACACAAGCATGCTAGTACTATCATCAAGACACCCATTTATTACTGAACACAGGTCCTCAGGGAAACTGCTCCTCGTGGAATATTCAATTTTTGAGGTACTAACAGAAGCATAAAGTGACTTCCACACTTCAATAACCAGTTCAAGCTCAAGACTTCTCTCTGATGAAACAGGAGTTTCTTCTAAGGAGCTTCTGACTTCGACTGGGGTTGAGGTCGGTAGAAGACAACGGTATATAAAAAATGGGTAGGACAAGAGATGGCAAATGGCAAGACAATATGTACTGTCAGATTCCTTATTTAAGAATGAGAGATCTTTCACACTATCTATCCACTCTTTTAGCTCTTCAGTTATTGCAACCCATATCTGCAAGCGGCCATATCTTGTGTGTTCATACAATAAACCATTAGTAGCTAGAAGAACTTCCAGAGGATCACAAGAAGAAAATAAAAATTTTAAGAACTTGTGAGATTTTTGCATAATAAACTCCATTTTGGGTTTATTCAAAGTTAAACCAACCAACTCATAGATGTAGATGACCATTAAGTAAACCAAGGGTGAAACCATATCCATGTAAGTGACAAAACTCATACCTAGAACTTTTGCATGTTTAATGTCATTACCAGATAATTGGTTTTCAATGCACTTGAGGTCTATTGCCACCTTGTATAAAGGGGATCCAAGGATTGAAGGTTCTAACTCCTCAATAACAGCCTCAATAAATGACAGAGAAGCATGATGCATGCCATTACTTCGTTTTCCTTCTGAAGATAAATCTTCACATATCTTAGCTGTGAACCTTAATATGGAGTTCAAACACAACATTATATCCTTGTAATCAATAGCCAAATTTTTTAACTCCATTTGGACTGCTTTTATAACAGATCTAAATATCTTCAAAACAGCACCACATGCTGAATTTCTGTCTTCACAGGAGACTTTTTCCATTGACAGGTGACAAGTGATAATACTAATCATATTTATAAAGAAGTCCACCTGACTAAGATCCCATGGCAACCATTTAATCGGATACAGCTTCCAGTAGTATTTACCTGATGTTGAAGGTCCAAGCACAGAGGTTCTAGCCGATAAATTATCAGTTATCAGGCCGTTTGTGCCACAGTTCACATCTTTGAACTTGGCAAGTATAAAATAATCAAGCAGTTCTAGGCAGAGATTCCATGACCAAATATTCTTACCATGAGGTCCATTTTGAAAAACTGCTTCCAGGAAAGGATCCAACACCAATTTTATCACTGATGGGCGGTTAATACAGGTATCGAGTTTATGTAGCAGATAACACCACGTATTCATGCAGGATGAGCTAACAGATACTTCGCATTTACTTGAAATGATGCCTATTAGAGGTGTCATTATTAGCTTTATGCTTTTGAGAACTGCATTTTCTTGGATGTCATGAATATTTCCTCTAGGTGTTCTCAAATTTTGATAGCCATTCTCGACATCTCTGTTTGTCGCACAAGGTAGTGTTGGCAGGTGAATAAGAGTATCAATAAGACCTTCCCAGGCAACCTGCAAAACCAAGCCACAATTTGTTTAATAGGCCAATTAATACCCAGCATATCAACATTCAATATTTCTGAAATATGTGATGTGAAGATATATCACGAGTTAATTATTAACACTACATTGTAGATCGGTCTCTGACTGACCCAAATCTGGGACAAGCTTTAAGAAGCCATGTTTTTGAGAACCAAATTGAACATAAAATTCTAGAGTTCGATGCAACAGGCACAAAATATGCCTAACAACTGAATCATAGATCAGCATTACAAGCACACATGTTATGACCACGCCCATGACTTTACACTTATGGTCCAAAAGGCACCACATGAAGTGCACAGCCAAAAGAGGATAGAGATTGAACATAAATTTCATCTAAGATTCTGTATTTTCGTTGGTAAGCATTCTAAAAAGATAACAGATATTGTGGAAGAAATTACAAATAGTGATTGATTACAGCAATCCATTTTCACAAACAAAAATGAAAAAACTCTTTTTAAGTAATACCAGTGAAGCAATCTGGACTTGTGGGTTGTGATCTGGAAATGTCAGCTCAGGAACTTTTAGCATGTCATTCATTAAATGTCTATTTTTCTTCATAGCATGAGACCCTAGTAGGCAGATGAACCATCCCCATGCTTGGATAGTTTGAATCTTCACGTCTTGGTTTATAAGATCTTTCATCCTACTCAGTAAATTTTGCTTCATCTCTTCAGCAAGTGCCTGTTTAAAACAGATGGAAATATTCCGTTAGAAATATGATCACCAATTGAAACAATTGACAAACAACCAGGCACTCAATTGAAAAAATAAAAAAATATAAGTAAAATTTAAACAATTTATCAAAATAATATGATACACCCAATTTCTGACATTTAATGGTAGTTGTTCGCATAAAGTATTTGAACATACATATTTCAAAACTCAATCATAATTATAAAAGTTACAATTGTCATAAAGGTGACAGTCCACTTTATGTACAAGAGCAAGCTTCCCAGAACATAATTGAGTTTATCCTGGACAAATTTTGCTAGAAAACAAAATTCATTTTAAATTTAGCTAAAAGAATAAAAGTCATTTGCAGATTTTAACAAGTACTGATGAAAATAAACTTGGTTACTTTAACTCTGGTGATGTTGTCCAAAGGATCTGCTATGCAAACAGAGACAACTAAAATGTTCTTGTAAAATACTACATGAGAGGGTTCTACCTCTTCCCACTGAGCAAAGGATGCCAAAAAAACAATATAACTATTCAGGTATTCATCTCTTCAATTAAAATAAGATGGTTAATAGCAGGACAGTTATATAGGTAGCACAATTATAGAGACTATCATTGAGTTACACATACACCAAACTGTGGATATTGCACCTTGTTGAGCATACGTGGTACAAGATGCAGAAAATAAATTTTAAGCTAGAGAGAGGGGGAAAAAAAAATTGTTAATAATGTACCTTAGACAGAGCCAGTGTAGGAGGAAACATTGTGGACTTAATCTTCAACAAACATCTTTCTGACATGTCCCTTTCTTTCTTATCACTGTTAAGAAGTCTTCTACATATTGGAAGAACCCAGATATGTGACAATTCTCTCATATTTTCACTTAATTGAGCAGCTAACTTCATCACAGCCTATTACATCAGAATCAGAGATTTAGTATGGAAGACAAAGCTGGCATTTTCTCACTGTAAACACAACTCAGATGTTAAAAACTCATCATCTTACAAGAATTACTGGAATAAATTACATATAAATATCATGCTTAAGATTTAATAAAAAATTGATGTCAAGAACTAATCTATGCATACCATGCATGTCTAAAGCGGGATTCACAGTTTGCTAATTTGAAAAAACTTGGAATTTTTTACTATTGTAAATAAGGTTCGGATCTGTTAGAGCATGTATGCATTTATTCACTGCCAAGATATGTGATTGCCAAATTTAGCAATAAAAGAACAAATTGGTGAAGTTTAACTCTGTTGGTATTGCTACATGCTTAAATTTAACACAATGATTCACATATTAAGATAGCAACATAATCATCTCATTCCATGTATAAGATTCCTTCATTTGCAGATATGCAAATGCTGAAACATGTGACATTTACGATCACTTATTGTTATTTTCTCCTATTTTCTGCACAAGGAAGAATCTGCAACAACTTGCTATAAAAATGTTTTCTAAACTTATGAAATGACTGGATTTGTCAATTCATACACATTTCATTTCCTACCAGAAGTAGTTTAAGCCATGAACCCCAAATCCTTTCCTGGGCCACCAGCAGAAAATACAGACTTAGACGATATCCTAAACCCCTTTTGACCCGCATGGGCACCAAACATTCCAAAAAAATTAGCACCTCACTTAAATCTATGGACAAATGGTCATACCTGTAAAGCCTCAAATGTTGTTGACAAAGAACCAATAGGATTGTCAAGGGCATAAACAACAGCTCGCAACAGTGAATGGAAATGGGCAGCAAGAAATGACGCATTCAATTGTTGGATAGATATACACCACACACCTAAATTACAAACTGACTGCAATTAAGAGGTGAACAAGTCAAATTTTTTTAATCAAAGTGGACCAAATGGAAAAAGTCAGCACCACTATTCGGTAATTTGAAGTTACCTTCAATTTCGTGGCCATTATAAGTTTGGTCAATGACTGTAAAACAAAACTGGCATCGTCCACTGCACAACAACAAAACGAAGAACATAACACTTTGTCAGTGACAGACAAGAAAAAGCAAGTAATAAAGACATACAAGAGTTTGCGGTTTAAGTCCTCACACAGTTGCAAAATGTATATTCAAGTACTAGAATTAGTCAAACTCACTACTCATAAAGAATTCAAGCAAAAGTAACAAGAAATCCAAAAAAAAAAAAAAAAAACTTAGCAATCAGTCATTACTGAAAGAATTTAAGCAACACTTACCCAAAACTGTGGCGACAAGAGATGGATGGTAAATCATAAATCCCAAGCACTTCAAAGCCTGTGCTGCACTGAAAATAAAATAAAATATCACCTAAGGATTCATTTCAATAAAAGACGAATCAATAGACGTATAGGGAAAAAAAATGAAAAAAAAAAAAAAAAAAAAAAAACTATATACAAATCACGTTCAAATTAAGATAAACATTGAAATTCAAAATACAGATTTGCCTACTCGTTTCTTACGTTTCTTCATTATCATCAGAGATATCGCAGACGATTGAAGCGATTAGAGAGCGGACATTTTGAGCAACAGCTTGAACTGCGGACGGAATACTAGTGGACTGTTCTTGAAAGTGCAAGAGAGAAGAGTAACCGAATGATTTGTTTTGCTTGGAGTTTGAAGATATCAGAGTTTTGATTTCTTCCAGCTGATCAAAGGCATTTGACATTGTTGACAGGAATTTTTAGAGTGAATTGATAGGAAAGTAAAACCCTAATTTGTGAGTACTGAGTTTGGGTGCAATTTTCGCGCCAAACGGTGGCGGGTGTTACTCAAGCGCTGTTTGACTAAGTGGATATACATGCTCTAGCCGGGAATAAAGTTTGACTCCATTTCTAAATAAACCTTTTAGAAAAATTTTACATTTAATTTTATTCTAATTTTTTGAAAATATTTCTTTCCATTTCAACATTGCTTTTGAAATTAAGAACAAAATAAAAACCAATTTGATTACAAAATAAATTTATGCTAATAAACTGTACCTTTTAAATAATATCATTGTTCTATTTCTATATCCTGATTAAGAAAAATGGTTATGNCTTGGAGTTTGAAGATATCAGAGTTTTGATTTCTTCCAGCTGATCAAAGGCATTTGACATTGTTGACAGGAATTTTTAGAGTGAATTGATAGGAAAGTAAAACCCTAATTTGTGAGTACTGAGTTTGGGTGCAATTTTCGCGCCAAACGGTGGCGGGTGTTACTCAAGCGCTGTTCGACAAAGTGGATATACATGCTCTAGCCGGGAATAAAATTTGACTCCATTTCTAAATAAACCATTTAGAAAAATTTTACATTTAATTTTATTCTAATTTTTTGAAAATATTTCTTTCCATTTCAACATTGCTTTTGAAATTAAGAACAAATAAAAACCAATTTGATTACAAAATAAATTTATGCTAATAAACTGTACCTTTTAAATAATATCATTGTTCTATTTCTATATCCTGATTAAGAAAAATGGTTATGAAATTCTTTGTTTGGTAACCTATAACGATTGAGAAATGGTCATTTTTCATTGTTAATTGACTTCTTTGCATCCTCAATATTATTTTATTACTTACCCTATTATTTTAAAAGCATTTAACAAAGGTATAACATAGGTTATGGATACAGCTAATTGATATCAAAAAATAAGAAGTTATAAATTAACCGCCAATTTTATAAAAAAAATTTTATACTTAAGTTTAGGAAAAAAAAAATGATATTTTTACTTTTAAAGAAGGTTATTATGGACATTTCATCTTTTCTATATAACAATAGAAGATTTTCTCGAGATCCATCAACTGCCTAGAAGCCGAATCTAGCCTTTGTTGACACTTGACACTAGTATTGAATCCAGCCCTTATCAATGCCAAGAGGCTGGATATAGCCTTTATATTGTCGTAAGGTTAGATCTCGTCTCTAAACACCATTCGAGGTCTCATCTGACCTTAATCGACGGCACTGCAAAACCTCCATGGCTTCTATAGTTGTCGCAAGGCCTTGGAGGTATCGATTTCAACATTTTTGGTGATGGAAGGTGTTCTAAAATTTCTCGACAAGGGCTATTACGGAAGCATCAACCAACAATTGAAGTGATTTTGGAAACAAATGAAGAAGTTGATGGAAGTACTTCAATGAGCTCAGATAAGTCCATTGATTTTCATATAAATGTGGCCTAGGAAAAGATTACAAAGTTAGTTTTAAAGCATAAACTAGCCTTGAAATTTGTTGAATATGAAGCATTTTGTGATATTGTGGATCCTAGTTTTACACAAGAAATGAAACGGTTTTAAAATTTATAAAAACAGAAAAGAGTTTTCAAAAATTAACACAATTAGAATTCGATATTGTGGTGGACTCAATATAGGGTGTTTCAATGGAACAAAAAAAAGTATGAATCGGGAAATTGCAGAATCCAAATTTATCGTGGTTATTCAAGAATTTTACCCTTTGAATTAAGGGTTCATTCATATTGTAAGACTCATTCGAACTTATCAATTGGTAAATTTGAATTATTTATGTATACAATATCCAAAAGTATCGATTATCTAAAGGAACTTAACACAGAGATTTGAATTGGATTGTTGTATGCATTTTGAATTGACAAAGCTATATATGACGGGTCTCAATTGCTCCTTGATGGCTTGAAATTCTCCTGCTCAAAAGTTTCTCTACATGTTGTTCATTCTCTAGTTAATAAAATTAAGTTCTTTGATTAGTTTAACTACCTTACTTTAGTGCACAAATCTATTAAAGTATTTGATTTAGTGGTATAAGAGATCATAACGATTATTAATTGCTAAAAGTTTTGATTAACTAAACTAAATCTACTACTGACCTAGTTGTAAATACATTTACATTCCAATGTTCACATAAAAGTTCATAATACAATCAATTGTAAACATCTAAAAACTCATGGAATATATGCAGAAGAAATTTACAAACCTCAAGCCATAGCAATTGTTGTTTAGTCTTGTTGTTTCTTCAGAATACAGAGTCTCCCACTGACTGCAATTTTTAGAGCGATGGTTTTAGGAATCAAAAATGAAAATTGCATCAAATGGGGACCTATAAAATCTCCTTTATAAATGCAGTTGTCTTTCCATCAAAGACATCTGCCCAAGAGACACAACCGTATACATTTCTTTTATTATAATCCACATCAGCATAAAAGTATAGGACCATAATATAATTATATTAAAAGTGTAGGACCATAACATAAAAAGTCTAACATTCTCCCACTTGATCCAAACTTTTATAATATAATCCAGAACATAGAAGATGTATATGTTGTATGTTTAATTAGAAAGAGAAAAATTACATGAATCATAGCGGTAAGTCCTTTTAAACAAGTATTGTCTTCCATGTATTACTATGCAATTTTTCTCTTTCTAAATAAACGCTTAAATGTGGAATATCACTTCNCGGAAGCATCAACCAACAATTGAAGTGATTTTGGAAACAAATGAAGAAGTTGATGGAAGTACTTCAATGAGCTCAGATAAGTCCATTGATTTTCATATAAATGTGGCCTAGGAAAAGATTACAAAGTTAGTTTTAAAGCATAAACTAGCCTTGAAATTTGTTGAATATGAAGCATTTTGTGATATTGTGGATCCTAGTTTTACACAAGAAATGAAACGGTTTTAAAATTTATAAAAACAGAAAAGAGTTTTCAAAAATTAACACAATTAGAATTCGATATTGTGGTGGACTCAATATAGGGTGTTTCAATGGAACAAAAAAAAGTATGAATCGGGAAATTGCAGAATCCAAATTTATCTTGGTTACTCAAGAATTTTACCTTTTGAATTGAGGGTTCATTCATATTGTAAGACTCATTCGAACTTATCAATTGGTAAATTTGAATTATTTATGTATACAATATGCAAAAGTATCGATTATGTAAAGTAAGGAACTTAACACACAGATTTGAATTGGATTGTTGTATGCATTTTGAATTGACAAAGCTATATATGACGTGTCTCAATTGCTCCTTGATGGCTTGAAATTCTCCTGCTCAAAAGTTTCTCTACATGTTGTTCATTCTCTAGTTAATAAAATTAAGTTCTTTGATTAGTTTAACTACCTTACTTTAGTGCACAAATCTATTAAAGTATTTGATTTAGTGGTATAAGAGATCATAACGATTATTAATTGCTAAAAGTTTTGATTAACTAAACTAAATCTACTACTGACCTAGTTGTAAATACATTTACATTCCAATGTTCACATAAAAGTTCATAATACAATCAATTGTAAACATCTAAAAACTCATGGAATATATGCAGAAGAAATTTACAAACCTCAAGCCATAGCAATTGTTGTTTAGTCTTGTTGTTTCTTCAGAATACAGAGTCTCCCACTGACTGCAATTTTTAGAGCGATGGTTTTAGGAATCAAAAATGAAAATTGCATCAAATGGGGACCTATAAAATCTCCTTTATAAATGCAGTTGTCTTTCCATCAAAGACATCTGCCCAAGAGACACAACCGTATACATTTCTTTTATTATAATCCACATCAGCATAAAAGTATAGGACCATAATATAATTATATTAAAAGTGTAGGACCATAACATAAAAAGTCTAACATTCTCCCACTTGATCCAAACTTTTATAATATAATCCAGAACATAGAAGATGTATATGTTGTATGTTTAATTAGAAAGAGAAAAATTACATGAATCATAGCGGTAAGTCCTTTTAAACAAGTATTGTCTTCCATGTATTACTATGCAATTTTTCTCTTTCTAAATAAACGCTTAAATGTGGAATATCACTTCATTATCAAACCTCAAATGTTTGTTCCAGATCTTCCATAATGTTTGTTTGTCTCCAACCAAAATGTATACAATTTAAAAGAGAAAACAAACTAAATTACAAAGTTTCAGAGAATGAACGTATTACCTCTCATAGTGACAAAGCGGGACAAAGTCCCATTTGAACAACATGATCCTTGAACGTCTTTGGTGGCATGTCTTTTTTTAGAGGATCAGCAATCATCTGCTTGGTATGTATGTGTTCAATGAGCACTTCTTTGGCTTTAACATGCTTCGTTATTGCTAAGTACTTAATGTCGATGTATTTACTTCGACTTCCACTCTTATAATTCTTAGCAAAGAATACAGCAGCTGAATTGTCACAATATAACTTTACTGGCTTAGAGATAGACTTAACAACTCCAAGCTCATAAATGAAACTTCTCAACCAAATACACTGTGTAGTGGCCTTAAAACAAGAAACAAACTCAGCTTCCATGGTAAAGGTGGCAACTAAAGATTGCTTGGCACTTCTCTAAGATACAACACCTCCGGCGAGCATAAAAACATATCCGGATGTTGATTTCCGAGAATCAACACAGCCAACGAAGTCTGAGTCTGAATATCCGACGACTTCTAAAATGTCAGACCGTCTATAAGTAAGCATGAAACCTTTAGTTCCTTGAAGATACCTCATGACCTTCTTTGCAGCTCTCCAATGATCCAAACCTGGATTACTTTGATATCTTCCTAACATGCCAACTACAAAAGTAATGTCAGGTCTAGTACAAACCTGAGCATACATTAGACTTCCAACAGCTGAAGCATAAGGAATAGTTTTCATTTGTTCTTTTTTAATCTTAAGTGTAGGACATTAGTTCAGATTGAACTTGTCACCCTTAACAATGGGTGCAACACTGGGTGAACAATCTTTCATCCAAAATCTCTCAAGAATTTTATTAATATAGGCTTCCTGAGATAGTCCCAAAACATGTTAAGACCTATCCCTATAAAT